CACTTCGGGAAGGCAGAGGCGGTCCACGGACAGCAGGGAGCAAAGCCCCCTCCCTGCGAGCTCCCCTGGCCCCCGGGAGGGCTGTAGGCCACGGTGGGGGCTCGGCCTGCAAGGATCCAGGCCCGACTGTAAACCCCAGACACAGCAGCTGGCGAGGTCTGGACCCCGAGCAAGGGCCTGACCCACTCCCCACTGAGCAGAAAGCAGCCGTGCCTCAAGGGATCACCACCCCGGACAGTCACCCCAAGGAGACAGAGCAGTTACCCAAATGCACGTGCCTTTCCCGAGGCCCCAGGCACGGCGAGCGGCCCCACCTGCAGGGGAGGAGCCCGCTAAGTGCGCCCAGCACTGACCTCCCGCCGCCTCACCCGACGGTGGCTCTCAGGAAGGGTGAGCAGGGAAGTGCCTGGTGGCCACTGGGGCCGGAATTCTGTTCCTCAGTGACCATCTCTCCCGCGCCCACCTCGGTCCCCCCTCCTGGATGGAGCTGGCCTTGAACCACAAAGTAGCCACAGGGTCAAGGACTCCGTGGAAACGCCAGGCCCAGCTTCCCATGCCATTTCCTTCAGCCCCCACCGCGGGCGGGGGCTCCCGCCCTGACTCCCAGAGCGAGTTCTCTTTCTCCAGATTCTTCGGGAGATGAACACCCAGACGTGGGCACACCCCCTCTGCCTCGGGGGTCAGAGGGACAGGTCAGGGCAGAAGGCATTTCACGTGGGGCCGGGGAGTGGGCCGGGCAGGCTGCCGTGGAGCAGCGGCTCTGGTGCACACAGGGATGGGTCTAGGAGCGGCCGAGGACCATGGCTGCGGCGGGCAGCGTGCCAGCCCCGGAGGAGCCTCTGCAGTGGACGTCTCGGGGTATGGGGTCCATCTTCCATGCAGGGCTGCTGGGCCGGGGACAGGAGGGCAGGTGCTGCTTGGGGGGCCTCAGCTGCAGCATGGAAGACAGAAGGGCTGGGACGTGGGGGAGAAGGCCTTTTGGGGGTGAGTGGGACCAGCCCTAGAGAAAAGTGGGCAGGCGGAGAACCTCAGAGCGAGTAGAGGGCTCGGAGCTCCCCCCTTCAGGCACCATGCCGGCCCGAGGAAGGAGGAGCCGGATGTCCTGCTCCAAAGACCCCACACCCACCCGCCTGCAGCTCCGCACAGCCACCCCAGGAGCAGAGACACGGGGTCCCCAGTGCTGCCACAGCAGGAGCCAGGACATGTGCCCTTGGGCTCCTCGGGGTCCCCAGGAGTGCGCCCTCTGACCAGGAGCTACACGGAGACCCTCTTGGGAAGGCCGTGTCCTGAAGGATGACCCAGAGCTGGCTGGTGGCAGGTCACCTCCCTCCCACTGCCCTGCCCTCCCCCCCAGGTCATGGCGGGAGGCCACGCAGCCACGCCCTGGGGAAGGGCCTCCTTTCCCGCCCCCGCCAGAGCCTCCTGACAGTGGGGTCACCTGCCCCGGGCAGAGCCGGGAGCGCAAGGCAGGCGTGTCCACTCTGGGGGCCCAGCTCCCCGTGCCACGGGCTTCCCTAGCAGGCAGCCTCCCCGGAAGGCTCGGCCCTGGGCCCCCGAGGTGGTGGGTGCGGCGCAGGCCCTGCCGAGGGACGGTCCCCGCCTGCCCACTGGCCGGCGGCCCCGGGGAGCCGGGCCTGGTCCTTGTCGCTGCTGCCTGCGCTGCTTTCCCACACGGACAGAGCCTGAGGTCAGAAAACACCACTCACCAGTGACTCACTCCCGCCTTCCCTGCCAACAACAACACCCTTTTACGTAACCGCGCTCACACCACTCTCTTCCTCCTCCCGGGGTGCCGGCGCTGCCAAGCCCGGCCGGCCTTCCTCCCATCGGCCTTCCGCTGCCAGCAAGGCACACACCGCCCTTCCGCCCCCAGCGCTGCCCGGGTCAGGGGCCCGGCCCGGCCCCCCGGGGTCCGGGGAGGGGGCGGCGCAGCTCTCGGCCCGCCTGGAGGAGGGGGCGTGGGGAAGGGCGGCGCGGGGGTCCCCCGACTGAGTGTGCAGCCGCTTCCTGGCGGCGCCCTCTCACATTTTCCAGCCGAGCTGCGTACGTGCAGGAAAGAGCCCGTTCTGGGCGTGTCTGCAGGCCAGACTTGGCAGAGGGACGGCGTGGGCAGCTCTGCAATCCACACAATTCACTTGGCTTCTGCGCCCTGCAGCCGGCGTCCAGAGACTCGCTGTGCCGGGCCCTTGATCAGGCCGCGGCCTCCACCCCCAGCACAGGCGTCTACCCAAACCCAGCACCACGGCTGCAGGCCCCAGCCCTGGGCCTTCCCAGGTGAGGCTGGCCCTGCCTTCCTGCGGGAGAGGAGGCGCGGGAACCCCCCACCCCGCTGCCCCCCCTCCCCCGGCTGTGGGAACAGCTCAGGAGGAAGGAACACAGGCGCTGGCGGGGACGCCAAGGACGGATATGCGGGCTGCGAGGCTGGCGGCGCCCCACGCGTGCCAGAAATTAATTCATAAGCAAATGCTTATTTTATGGTTTCCCACTTCTGCAGACATGAAGGCGAGAGGCAAGATCTCTTCTGGGGCTGGCAGGAAGGGGGTGGGCAGCGTGGGACAGAGAAGGTTGACAGCGCATCCCGGGGCCCAGAACTGGGGGTGGGGGGTGCTTCCTTCTCCTGGAAGCGGGGGGAGGGGGCTGACCCTGAGGTCTGAGTGGCCAAGGACACCTGGGGGAGAGGGCCTGGAGGTCAGGCTGGCCTTGGACGTGACGGCCCTCAGAGAAGCCGGGCCGAAGGAACGGGGATGGCCTCGGGCCATGTCGGGCCAGGAGAAGCGATGGACCCTGCACCCAGGCCTGTTAGGACAAAAGGTGATGCGGCGGGTCACAAGCTTCAGAGTGAGATGCCAGCAGCCCACAGGACCCCAGCAGGTCCCACACATGCTTGTTTTGGGGGTTCCCATAAATTGAGTTCTCCAAGGTCCAGGCAATGAAATGCAGAACTTCTGGAGAGCCGCGGTCCCAGAGACTGTTCTCAGGACCAGTGCAGCCTCCCCCGCCCCAGAGCAGGCACAGGAGCCAAGCGGCCTGCTCACCCCGGTTATGGCTGAGGACCAGGCCACTGCCAGGACACAGCATCATCAGCCCAAGCAGCACATTTCCAGCCACTGTCCACAAACCAGGCTTTGGAGGACAGAGGCCACCGCGGGACGGACTGGAAGGTGGCTCTCGTCCCTTCCTCCTCCGAGCACATGCCGGCAGGACCCAGAGCCACAGGTTCAGAGCCACAGGCTCCCCTGAAGCCCTTCTGCCTCACTTCCAGAGCTCCCAGTCCTGCGAGCTTCCCTGCAGAGGCCCTTACCACCCTGACATGGTCCCTGGGTCCGGCGCAGCCTAGTGACCACAGACAACCTCCCCCGGCCCCCCAGGTCTGGTCTGTGGCCAGGCAGTGACAGGGCAGCTGAGCCTGCCTGCTGGACGACCACCACGTCCAGCTGAGCCCCTCGGTCTGACACGGGAGCTCCTCCAGGGCCTCCCAAGGGTCACAGACTTCGGCGTCACCACCTGACTCTCACGGCCTTGCGTCCCAGCCACATTGCCCGTTCCTCTGGGCTCCTCAGAGGAGTGAAGCTTTATTAAAACTCGGGGAGGGGAGGGAATAACCCGCGATTTCCAACTTGCATTTAGCTGCAACAGACAGCACCGCCGTCCCTCAACAGCATTCCATGGAAGGGGTGACGCCGGAGCCAGGAAAGCTGCAGGGATGTGTTCTCAGAAGCACGTGGTCAGGCCCTTGTGCCGGATGCGTCTGGGGCCTGAGAGGTCACCCTGTGCCTTGTTTGGCACACCTGGCCCACAGGGGCGGTCCCAGAGGTCTGGGCCTGGAGACTAACGCCCGAGGAAGCCAGGGAGGCCAGCAGGTGCCCAGCTCAGCTGTGCGGTCCTGGAAGCCCCGTGGCCAGAGACCAGAGCAGTGTCAGCACCACAGGGGCCCCAGGTGAGAGGGGCCCACGCACCATCGCACGTGAGGACGTCAAATGGCACCCCTGGGCAACGGCTTGGTGCCCCTGGGGCTCTGGGCCTGCGAAGGTCTCTGCCGTGGGCCCAGTCCCAGCACCGACCTCACAGGTGGGTATGGGCAGGTGGGGATGCAGGATAGGTTCAGGGCACCTGCCAGCCAGTCACAGGAGCAGACACAGGGCCGGAAGGTACCTTAGTGGGCACCTCAGCCCAGCTCACCTGCCACAGCCAGAAACACCCTTTGCTAACTTACACGAAGAATTTTGACTTTATTAATCCCGACTCTGAGTTTAAATTCAAGACCAGAAATATGTCAAGTCCAATAGACACAAAGGTGAGTCTTATGGAGAGTTTCTCATCTCAACAAAGCTGTCGTCAGAATATGTGCACACACCCCCCTAAGCAAACCTTCACGCAGACGGCCAGCACGGAAGGAAGACTGCACAGAGGGCGCCACAAATATTTAAAGAAATTATCCTAATTGCCATGTCTACACAAAAAGTTCACGTAAAAGTAAAATCATTCAAAAGTGCTTTTTTAAGGACGTTGACCAAGAGCTCCAGTTGCTCTTATTTAAAAATGGTCAGCGAACCCGGCTGACAAGCATCATCTGCTCGACTTCCACTCCAGCGCCTGGCTGTCCCGCGAGCGCAGGCTGCTCTGCTCCTGTGGACGACGCTGCTGAAAGGCAGACACGTTCACAGTCAGCAGTGGCTGCAGCAGCTCCAGAAAGACAAGCCACGTGCGCGTGCACACAGCTCTTCTCTGTCATCTGTGGGACCCTCTGGGGTCCTGGTTAAAAACGGCAAATGGACCTCAGTGCGTCGGTCACTGAGCAAATACTGACGGGCTCCTGCGGTGGCCCTGGCCGGCTGCCTGCACGGCCGCCCCTTCTACCAGTCTGCATGTGTCTCCCGGCCAGTCTGGCTTCTGGCTGAGTGCCCACGCGGGCTAAGGGCGGGCTCGTGCTCTCGAGATGGCACGTCCCCCAACCCCCGTGTCGGGTAGGACCCCACGAGTGGGAAGCCAGCCCCTCCTACCTGAATGGTGGTGTTGCCGCCTTCCAGAAGGGCGATGGCCAGGAGGATGCTTTCGTGGAACACACGGTCACTGGACGCGTTCATGATGAGGTCGATGACCAGGTTGGAGGCGCCCTCCTTGTCCAGGTGGCACTGGACCTCGGCCAGGCTCATCTCACCCCTGCTTACGGAGCCCGGCCCGGCACCGCCCCCTGGGAGAAAGAAGCACATCAGAGAATGACCCCGACCACACGCTTCCTGCAGGCCAGCGCTTGAGACGCCGAGGCCGGAATGGAGTTCTCGGCCTCTGCACAGCCTCCCGAGGACAGGCTGACCTAGCAGAGGCCAAGGCCTCGAGGCCCCGGCCAAGGACACCAGCTCTCAGTGGCAGAGATGGCTCAAAGGCGGCAGGTACAATGGAGAGAGCGAGACCCCTGCAGCCAGAGACCCCAAGCCGGGCAGCCAAGACTCCCCCTTAGTTGAGGTACAGTGATCCAGGGAAGAGGTACTGAGAACTGAGCTGAGTTTAAGGGACAAACTAAACCTCGATACTCGCTCCAACAGTCCTAAGGGCACACGGCCTGTGAGGATCGCATCAGTCCTCCTTCTAACAAAGCTGCCTAAGCCCCAACCCGCCCTTTCATATCACTCACTAGCTGGTTCATTCATTCAGCGAGTATTGACTCAGTCTTGGCAAGGAGCCAGAGGCTGGGGAGAGAGGTGTGAACAGAACACATCTTGTTCCTGGGGAGCTTTGGGTGAGAGGCCACTTAGTGGACAACTGTCTAGAAGGAACCTGCCCTGCATCTCCTCTGAAACACGGAGAGACGGCTGCTCGGCTTCAGTCCTGCCCTGCAGAGCTCAACTCAGATTCGACCTCCTCGGCACTGCCTGCCCTTGACCCTGGCTGCCCTTGATCTCTAGATCCCATGTGTGGCAGACGCACGCCTTGTCTCCTCCAGCTTCTCTGACACATTCCCAACCCCCCTCCTGACACCTCCAGGGCCTCTCATATTTATGGCATGACCACATTCCTGAGAGCATGTGAAGGGAAATCGCTTTGAGATCAGACGTGAGGCACCTCTCGTGAGGCTCCCTGGGTGCTTCTGGAGGAAAAGCTCAGCTTTGGGGTGCCCTGACAAGCATCCCTGTGGGAGCTGCAGCTCTGTGAATGAGCAGACGGGCTTCAAGTGAGCATGGGGTGAGAGCCCAGGTCCCTCTGCAGAGATGCTGGAGAGTGGCCTACCAAGCCCCCCACCCACGGGACCCCAGTGCCCACAGTCTTGATAGAGGGGGAGCCAGGCAAGTCAGAGGCACTCCTAGCCCCACCTTAAAACCCAAAGCACACCCACCGCGAGCTCAACCTCTACCCGTAACTGTGGTCACGCTGCTTTAGAACAGCTTCCAGGGCTTGCTTTGAAGCGGCTCTCCACGGGGATGTTTTTGGGCAAACTCCCATGGGGGTGGAGACTCTGGGGAGGCACACAGCATGGCCTTCAGATGGGGACACACTGAGGCCCAAATCACAGACCAGTCACTACCAGGCCGTAGCGCATCCTAGTGGTTACAGGGAAATGAAGTTTCTAGATCATTCAGTGGTCGCCACGAGGCCCACTGACCAGGAAGAGGGGCAGGAGGCTTCCTCAAGAGCTCGGTGCAGCCAACTCACTGGAGACATTCTTTTGACGGGAGGCAGGACAAGCTGCTCAAAAGCTCCCTTGCACCCAAACCCACCTTCAGAGCTTCACCCTGTTCTGCGGACCCCGGCACCTTGCGCCCAGGGCCCGACAGAGCGGCCGCCAGCATCTGCATGGCCTACCTCCACCCCCAGGCTTGCTGGGTCCTCCAGGCGACAGCGGGCCATTGCCAAAGCTGGTCAGGCTCTCTCTTCTTCCCGAAGGTCTGATGTTTCCATAGTAACGGTTGACCAAAATCTGCCTGAGCGCCTCACCCTTAATTCAAACAGGATAAGGAAATCAGGCTCTGGATGTAACACATAAGAGAGAGACTAATAATCGAGAAAATAAACACCACAGGAGACTCGTTATAATTGGTTCTGTTTTACTCAGTGAAAAGATATTAAAAGCATCTAGAAACTCTGAGGTTAACGTCAATATTTTTTCAGGAAACCCGATTTTTAAAAAAGCAGCCATCTAGAATGATAAATATCCGAAATCCTCTCTTGCATGATAAAGATAGGACATTAATTCTGAAGGACATCTCACAGTAACAACAGTCAAGGATAAGCCTTGGGGATCTCTTTGGGATCAGCCAGTAAAATTCAGACAGACTGAAATTTTGACAACACTTTCCACATAGCAATGTGAAAAAGTGACACCCCCCCCCCAAATTTGGGGTTTATGCCCCAGGCCCTAAGGGTATACTAAGCAGCCACAACGGTGCCTGATGACAGCAAATCTGCAAGAAAGCCTTTCTTACACAAACAGCCAACTGGCCAAATGCTAAAGAAAAAAACCACCTTCAAGAAAATAAATCAATGGCAGACATCAAATCACATAAAAAAAAAAATCAAAAGATCAGCATCATGGACATGACACTGGGATTTGCCTGGAAATAACCAGGGAGGCTCGAAGGGAGACAAGACGGTTGTGAATCGGGGGCTCTCAGAACTCCTGCCACTCTCTCTGTAGGTGTTCGAACACGTCCACCCAGAAGTTTTAAAACTATGAGCACGAGAGAATCCCGGACGGGACACGATCACTTTCCGCAGCCCCAACAGAAAGGAGCACCCTGAGGTTCAGGGGCCCCGGGGAAGCAGGACTGCCCCAGCCCTGCCCGTCTCGGTCAGGCTAAGGGCCTCCGACCCGTCCCCGTCGGGTAGTTTCTCCAGCAAAGGCTGTATGGGTTTCCCCTGGATGCGTTCCCAGGCCGGAGCGCCAGGCCTGGAGTTCCTCCCGCACAGCGCTGAGAGGTAAGTGAGAAGTCTAGCGGAGGGGGTGCTGAAACACAGCAGGTCTCGAAAATAGAGACTCAAGGGCTCTTCTGACGAGACCTGCAACTGAAACATGAGTCAGGAGAATTTAAAGTGATTTGTTAATAAGCTCCCAGAATAGGCCTGGAGATTTCAAGGGCGGGGTGTGCAAAACAAGACAGGAGGGCATGGTGGGGCGCAGGGGGGGTGGGGGGCGTCCTGAGAGCAGTGGGGAACGGAGGGCATCCTGAGAGAGGGGCGGAGGGTATCCAAGGGCGCCCCAGGGGGGGCAGGGGAGAGAGGCAGGAAGGCCTAGTTCAACGTCACAGTGGTGGGAGGCCCAGGCCCCGGCAGCTTTGCTCCTCTGCCGGGGACCGTTGCTGGTCAAAGACAAACTGGGAGGGGATGGACAGGGGGTGGTGGGGCAGCGCTGGCTCTGAAATGACAGTTCAGGAAATGAAAAATCTCCATCTCCCCTGCTCCACTCCACCCACAATGCTGTCTCTCATCACAGCTCAGCAAAGGCAGCCGCCTTGACTAGCTCCCGATTCTCATTTCCCACCTGACTCCAGAACACTCAAAATTCCATCAGTGCGCCCACCCGGGAGGCCGCGTGTGGCTTTCAGCACTTTCTAAACGGACTGAGTTGAGGGTAATCTTTCCTGGGAGGGAAGGCAGGCTTGGGGGCCAGGCGCGCCTGGCCGGCATCGGGCTCCAGCCCCGCACGGCCCAGCGACACTGCCCCGGCCGGCCCACGGCGCTGCGGGCAGAGAGGACGGCCCACAGGAGCAGCGCGCGCCTCAAGGGGCTCAGGAAGCACGCTCGGAAGGGGACGCAGAGTCGGACGTAATGGGGTTAAATGTGATTTCTCTCTGATGTGATGATGAACCTGCTGCACTTTCCCACGTTGAGGGACAGACTTTGAGTTCCTGCAACGGGGGTGCTCGGCTGGAGGCCGGCACGCGGGTCCCTGCGCAAGTGGCGGGACAGGAGGCAGCCTTGCAGACGTCCACGCTGCAGCCAAAGGAAACAGCCAGTGTGGTTGTCGCGGACAGAACCTGGAAGGTCAAGGCCTGAGTGGCCAGGTCAGAAGGGGTGAGTGTGAGCTGCCCGCGGACGGGCTCTGTCAGGGTCACCCCTCAGGCCGGGGTGCCAAAAGGAGTCTCCGGTTCCTCTAGGGCCTCAGGGTCGGCGGCCGGACCCCGGCCGGTCAGCAAGCGGGAGGGGAAGGGACACCCGCTGTCCAGAGGAGGGCTCCAGGGACAGCGGCTGCAGACGATGCCGTCTGGACGCCCAACTGAGGCCGCACGGGGCTCTCCCCTCACCATCCGCCTCGCCTCCAACAGAAACCCTGGCGGTTTCCATAGCGACCGCTGCATCAAATGGTACATTTTCCCCCCATAGGGGAATATCGGGAAACGTGCCAATTGTGGAAAACACACACTCGCACACACACTCTACAAACTTTTTCCCTCTTAATTACAAGACTTCGGGCACACCTGCCCCCCCGCCTCTCCGCACGCTCAGGAGAGTAAACTGCAAGGGGGTGGGAAAGCCGGAGAGCGCGCGGGCTCTGCTTTCCTTTCCTCTTGCTGTGAACAGACGAGGCTCACGCCTTCCCTGAGAAGACCAAGACTGCGGATTTCAGGTCGAGGGACAGAGAGAGAGAAGAGACACTCATCATTAAAGTTAAGCAAATCCCTAGCGTGGGAACGTCGGTTCTCGGAAGACTGCTTTTCTGAGCTGGTGGTTTCCTTGAGGAAAACTTAAAATCTGCAGAGCAAAGCCTCCCCGGAGCCTCCCGCAGGAGCTGCTCCCAGCAGTGGGCGCTCGGGGGCGGACGGCCGACGGCAGGAAGGGGCTGCACGTGGCCAGGCCCCCCCCTTGGAAGAAACACTCGTCTTTCCCCAGCAGCCCAGGGGCCGACGGCTCCCAGGGGAACGCCAGGCTGTCTCCGGCGGGAAGCCGACACGTCGGCAGCCAGGGCTGCGGAGGGACAGCTCACGGGCCGCCAGGCCACGTCAGGCAGAGGAAGCGGCTAAGCCGGGGGCTCCTGCGCCACGAGGGGTACCGCTGGGTGGGACACACGTGGGAGGAGGGGACACGGCCCCCCAAGGGAAGAATCTGGGCTGTGTGGCTTCTCAGGGCCCAGCTGCTCTAAGCCACGCGCCTCTCCCGGGAGCAGGCCTCGCGGCTTCGCCAGCGCTAGGGCAGCTTCCCCCTTCCCCACGCCTGTGTCTGCACCCCTGGAGCGGCTCCTTCTGAAGGCGGTGACCCCCGCAGGAGTGATGTTCCCCGTGCACTGCCCGGGGGAGGGCACCCCAAGCACCCCAGGGCTGGCCACACAGGAGACCTCTGATCCACGGCTGTGGGCCGAGTGACACTGGTACTGCCCCCCCGAGAGCGGAGACCCAGGACAGCCCCGGGAGGCCAGGCCCCGGTGGGTGAACTGCAGAGGGAGCAGGGCCTGGCGGGGAAGGTAAGAGGACAACCCCCCGAGTCCTTTCTCACTTCGAACTAAGGATCACAACTCACAGAGGGCAGATGTGGAGTGTGGGGGGCCTGGCGGGCTGGCGTGTGAGCAGCACAAAGGTGCCCCAGGCCACCCATTCACCCTGCGGGCAGCCTGAGGCCGACGCTGCCAGGGCATCTTTGCAGGGACGGCTCATCTTCTACCCCTGGGGCTTTGGGTCACGTGCCCAGCCTTTCTGAGCCTCAGTTTCCTCATCTGTGAGATGGGGATGAAGGTCGTGCCCTGGCTCAATGTCAGCACCGACAGCACGGTAATCAGCAAAGAGTGAAGACATCCAGCTACTACCTAGCTATAGACACCATGAAATCGATGCAGTGCACAGAACCTTCTAGAAATGATTTAGCAAGACCTGGTCAACACCTCGTGAAAGTACCCACCCTTCAGAATTCCTCGTCTAGGAATCTATCTGGAGACATACACATTGGCGCATTTCCTCACAAAGGAAAACAAAGCACCCATTTGTGGAACATTAGGCAGCTGTTAACTTTCAAAGACTTTCCCAAAAATGCAAAAAAAAGTAATGAAAAACAAGAGTCGGGCTTCCCCTGGTGGCACAGGCGGTTGAGCTCAGCACTGTGAAGCCGTCCACAGCCTCTGCAGGGCAGATCCCGGCCCGCCTGGGAGCTACCCACATGGCGCGGCAGACCTCTCCTGTCTCCCCGCTGCTGCCCTCAGCAGTGTGCTTCAGTCAGCCTGCCTGTCCTGCTCCCCACTCTGGTCAATGCTCTCACCCTCCCGCACATCTGGCCCATACCCCCGGTTCTTGTATGCATGAATAAATACATCTTTATAAAAAAAAAAAAAGAGCCAGGGACAAAAGTTGTGCACTTAAGAGTAACCCCAGTGTCAGGGGACGGGACCACGAGGTCAGTGCCACGCGTTGTAAAAAGTGGGTGGGAGGAGACTGCGAATCATTCGCAGCTTTTATAGCTGGGCAGCAAAATTACGAACGTTTTTTCATTGCACCTCTTAATTATAACTTAGGAAAAAACTGTTTGTTGGAAGATGTCACTTGAGTAGAGAGCCAGTGAGCCAAGGCGAGCTGGCCGGCTGGCCTGGCCCTCATCTGGGGGGCGGCCGGCCGCAGCCTGGCAGGTGCGGGTGGCGCTGGGGCCGGGCGGTTTCACTGAAGGGACAGGCTGGGACTGGCCCTGAGCGATCTGGCCGCAGTGATGGACACCCACCACAGGAGCATCTCCAAGGCATGGGGGCCGAGGGAGGGGCCGAGCTCCCGGCACCCAGACCGCACACATACGTACCCTTTTGTGGTCTTCCAGCTGCCTCAGCGGCGGGCTCGGCTCAAGCTCCTGCTAAGCATGCAGAAATGCCATTTTAAGTCCGATGCGGCCATCTTCAGCGTCAGTCCCAGACCAAACACACAGAGCCCAAGGAGCGCCAAGTGACACGGGGGAAGGCGGTTTTTGTCTCCCCAAACACTGGCCCAGGGCCTCTGGATCCTGCCCAACTCCCCGACCCCGGTGTGCCGG